CCTCCCCCCCCCCCCCCATATTGATGCAATCAGATGCATATCACAAGCTCTGAAACTAGTTTCTTTGCCCGCTTCAGAAAAATTTTGTGGAAGCAACTTCAGAATTTGTAATGGTGAATCGGTAAGTATCATCCTAGTAATCTCCAATCTGTCCTAGGAAAAAAATTAACAGGATTTGACGGATTCTGATTCAAAACCCGCAACCGGATCCCCTCAGCCATGGCAAGAACTGTTTTAGAATGACTTATCTGGTGAATGCCTCACTGTTTCACCATGAAAGAACTCTTGCAACTGCATCCACCAACCGCACTTGGGTTTTCAGCAACCTGAATAATGATCGAATCATCAAATTATCGTCAGAGGTTATCTAGATCTAATAAGAAGTCACTAAAGAGCGGAAACATGCAAAAGCATAATGCAGCTTTCACATTTTCCTGGATGCACGAAAACATGATCACAGTGAACGACCAGACCGCTGTGTGAATATGGCGAACAACAAATGAATTCGTTCTGTGTCGGAGATTAAAAAGAAAGACTTTTTACCACAAAAGCTGAACGGATCAGTTCCTCGACGTAATCAACGGTTGCCCCTTTCACGAAATCATATGAAACATTATCGACAACCAGCTTCACGCCATCCCTCTCAAAAACTCTGCATTTGTTTAAGGATGGCCAAAAGTTCAGAAAGAAAACCCGGAAGCATTGAAAACGGTAACTCTTTCAGCTTTGCCGAGTGAAAAAGTTGTAACTTGAGGTGAAAAAAAAAAAGGTACCTGTCATCTGAGTTTGTCTTGCTATCAAGCTCGAAGACATACTGAAAACCCGAACACCCTCCTGTTTCTACACCCAACCGAAGCATTTTCTTCTCCGATTCACTATCTTGTAATTCCTTCATTCTCTGGTGAAGAATATTTCAAAGAGAAGGATCAAAACAAAGATTCTAAAGGCTCACCGCAAGAAATCGATAGGTTTAACCATGAATTCCTACAAAGGGCAGAAACTTTGGAACTTCAAACATTGAATGGCGTGATCAATCACGATGAGGACAATCATAACAACGAGTATGCCTTCACAAGCTAAGAATTGTCTGTTTGATGTAATCGTCATTTTTCCACACGACTTTGAAACTTGAAGCATATAAAAAAGAACAGAGTCTGCATCATTCCATTTCCCCTGAACCATGAGATAGGAAAGCTAGAAAAACAACCAAATTCTGTGAATCGTAGAGATTTATCTCGAAATTCATCAATTCGTATAGCAAAATTCAGAAGACCGCGGATTTCTTACGCAAAATTCAAATATCAACCAAACAGGTACACAAACAGTCGATGAAACGCATATATCTGATTTCGTGCAGAGAAATCAAACATCTAAAGGGCGTACCTGGATACAACTCTGGGAGAGGTGAACGGCGTCGGGAGAATGAGATTCAGAATGGGAGGAAGAAGACGATACCGAAGAAGGAGAAGCTTCGTTGAGAGCAGAGACGGAGGAGAAGCTGAGCATCCGATGGTTATCCCGGATACGAGCAACCAAAAAAGGAACAACGCGTCTTATCAGAGATCCCGACATGGCCTTTTATTTCCTCCACAACTAATCTCTCTCTCTCTCTCGGAGATATGACTAGAGCATCGCCATCGGAGATGATCTTCGGGTTTCGGGAATCTTCCTTCCTCCTGGGAATTTGACTTATCAAAAGAAAGCTTCCAAGTTCCAACGCAGAAGGCGTGGTGGCTGAGCAAGGGACCTGTGGCCATCATACGTTCGTTAACGACGTTTACACTCCACGTGTCACCTCTAGGTTGGTTTTTATCTTTCAATACAAGGATGACTGCCAACACGGTTTCGGCCCAAATCCATTTTAGCCCAAGCCCATCGAGGTTTCAACGGCCCGAGCTCTGTCTCGAATGCCGGGTGCAGATCTCCGAAAATGGGAAATTCGGTCGGCCCATCAGATATCCGAAGATGTGAGGTGTTGATTCTCATATTCTCTCTGTGCAAACTTGGAGGAGATAACTCGTAAAAACCCTCACACATACACAAGTCGTTGTGTGCAGATTCACAGAGAATTCTAGAAACGGGGATACAAGAATTTAAAATCTTGTTTTTTTACAATAATGTACAAATAGTCCCATTGTTACATTTTGTATCTCTCAAGCATGACCATATTTTGGTCTTAGGATTTTTCCAATTCTAGAGCTAAGACCTATAAAACCATGTATTGTTATATATATATATGTATGTATCTTAGGGAGAAGAATGGGTTAGAATGCGGACCGCGGTTTTATATAGTCGACCGAGGAACGCGACCCGACCTGATCCGACCCTCCGAGCGAGTTTCTCTACACCGTTCTGCACTGCAGTATGAAGGTAAAAATGCATCACAACAGCACAATGTTCCAATCTCAATTTGGTAAAATCCTGTATAAATACACGAATTTGGTATCAACTCCCACGGTAATACGCACATTTCCCAACTCTCCATTAAAATCATAAATTTTACAAAAGAGAATTGATAAAATGGTTCAGTTATCTTACCCATATATTGTTTCTTTCTGGCAACCTTTTAATCGGATCTTTCCATCTCCCGAAATCTCCTGTCCCATTCTTTGGACTCGTAATCTTGTTCAATCATGTCTTTATCTGTACTGTACACAATCCTCTCCTGACCTATGACCGTGCTTTGAGCCATATCCCTTGCACTCAGTAGCTGCATCCATCGGATTAAGAAGTTAGCTATGAGGGAGAAAATCCTATCGGTATGCCGAGGTAGATAGGTTCCGAACATGTAAGGTTAACTAGGGGTGGGCACGGGCACCAGAAATATGATGAGTACCCACCCGACTTCTGAGTCGGGTACCCAGAATCAGAGTACTCATCCACCGGCGGGACAAGTATCCATCCGTCGCCGGCAAGAACCCGACCTTCGGGTTTGAGTTTTGGTTTTGACCAGTGAATAGCGAGCCAGATGGGTATCCGTGCCAGAGGGGGAGAGATGGCACCGCCAGGATTAAGGCTGAGGGAGATTAGGGTTTTGTTTTAAAAATCTCTGTGTTGAACTCAGGTCAAAGGGCAAAGGAGGTGACGATTTAGGGTTTTGGTTCACCCTCTACGGTTGGATACCCGAGCCTTCACCGCACCCCACGGATATATAAAGCTCGGGTACCCGACTCTTACAAAACTGAGGTTGGGTAATCTGACCAAGAAACCTGAGTGAGGCAAGGCTGAAATCAGGTACACCGAAAAACTCGGGTATGCGACCTATGCCCACCTCTTTATAAGACTATCCGTCTTAACCATAACAAGAAACTGTGCAATAGAATGTGAGTTTTAATGGTGCGTGATCTCAGAAGGATTTAAACGATGAAGGATGAACAATCAATAATATGCATACCTTACGCCGAAGTCCAATATCAGGGGATTCAAGAACCTTTGCATACTGTAGCCTAGCTCGGTTTCTATTCTCTATCTGAGCATTCTTTCTCTTCAATGAAAACCACCGAACCAAAGGAATTGCAAAGAAAGAACCTGCATATATCTGTGGGCATAGTTTTTCATGATAACAAGTGGTTAAGCAATCACTTAAAAAAAGCAGCAGCATTTTGAGGAATGCATGAATGCAGAAAGATCAATAGCTTATAAGCCTCCAAGCAATGATGGGTACCAAGAAACAGGTAAAGATCATGTGTAAAAACGGGTTGCAATATGAAGAGAAACCGAAATCATACCTGAAGTAACGGATATATGTTCTTGACGAACGTAAGAAATCCACTCGGTGTAACAGCCATATCCCTTGAGATCAAAGATAAAAGTAAGGGGTTGCCTTAACATTCTTTTATCGAAAAAAGAAATAGGAAGAACTGAAACTTTAGAGCAGAATCAAGTTTTTAGAGGACCTTACTTCAACATTGTGTTTAGAACAATAACTCCAAAGAGATTAATTGCACCTAAACCGATTACCATTGCTCTCTCGGATGCATTAGTTTTGCTGTAAAGAAAACAGTAAAAGCAATCAACATGTTTTCACGAGAGTAGAAGATAGTGAAATCAACTGCCAGGAGCAAAAAGCGAAACTAACCTAAATTGCCATTTCCTCTCTTTGAAGAATTTATCCATATCACCAACCCAATCAAACCATCTTCCCACATATTCCTTTCTTCTACCAGAACCAGAAGCTGTACGTTGTAGGGACAGGAAACGATACAAAATATTGCCCTAAAACAACAACCAGTCATGTTCAGAACTGACTGAAGAAAAAAAACCCTGCATATCAGGAAGATGATTTATATACCTCTTCGTCTAACTCGGGTTGGCCATCAAATCGGAGGAGGACAGGTAGGATGTACGATTCATCGCTCTGGAAACGTAAAAGGTGATTGTTGAGATAAAGATCCATCTTTTACATCATCATTCTGGGTCTATTTAACTCGAGAGACAGACACAGCAGGATACAGAGAGCTAAATCATAAAAGGGTACCCATCAAATGTTATGAAATCCTATCTGATAAGAAAGCAATCATACCACAGAATCCTTGGGAGATGACACATCGAGATATGGTGCAAGTTCTTCTGCTGCAACAACACCTCCTCTTGAAGCGATATACCGCCCAATCTGCAAATAAGTGTTAGAAAGGAAAAGTATGTATTAGTAGTGCATATTTAATCAAATGGCATATATCTCGAACGTATATAGGATATTTCTGAGGGCCTGCGTGACGGGAAGGAATTCGGGGAAGAGTCTAAAAGCCTAACTACTTTGCTTTCTATGAATACTTAGAGAGAAATCACTGATTTCTGTTTCATAAAGCTGAGAAGCAAAATGTAAGATGTTAAGGCAGATTGGAACTAAATAGCTAAACAATAAAAAGTGAACAAAGAAAACAACAATTGATCAGAATCAAGACCAAGATGTTACCAACTGCCATCTCTCTTCTTCAATTCCTTGGTTTGGATCTCCGTCTCCAAACACAAACGAGAAAACCTAGAAATCAAACATTACCCAATTCCAATTTCAACCATTAATGATCCAGAAGTAAACAGAAAAGGAACACATGACATAACATGAAACTAATTCAAGTTTTTGTTTCTGCTTACAGATTCGATGAAGTTCATTCCCTTTCCATCATCTTCTCGAGATCGCCGCCTGCTGTAGTAGTAGGGATCCCAGTACCTTAAAAAAATGAGAAACATGTCATGGCACCCCTTTAAATCAAATATCGACCCTTCACACTGTTTAGAAGCAGTAAACTTTTAACCAGAAGATAAATATTTTACCAAAACAGATCAGCGGGGCTAAGGTAGAAAGTGAATCCTGAATCATATCCGCGTCCACGTCGTCTTCCACGGTTATCTTCCTCGCTTTAAAAAAATTGAAATCACGGGTACAAACTTTACTCAATGTTTTGACAAAGAAAGACATAAATCTAATAGCAGATAAGAACTGTATACAATCTGAGCAACCAAATCTGGTGGGATACCTTCTACTTGAAAGAAGGACAACAATTGTAGTGTAGACAAGAACTATGGAAGCAATAAGTGCTGTTCCGAAAGAAACACGAGCCAAATAATCTAATGCCCCCTGCCAGAGAGTCACATAACCGAAAAAGAATCAAACAACTTATATACGAGCAGAAAGCTCGTTCCTTTTTCTTTTCTCTGTTCAAATTATACACAAAGTCGATACCTTTGCCTTCTCAAGCAATGGTTCAATCCTCATCCTAAATGACTTGGCAGCAAGCTTTGATCGATAATCCCTCGGGAAGACATAAAGCACATCACCTTCATCCGAGACCTGGATAAAGAAAGCCATTGCATTGATAGATTCAAAAGCTTAAAATGTACATATATACTTAGGAACCAAAGAATTCCGACACATATTTGCCTCAAATGTACAGATCAATTATCAAAACTAAACCTTAAATTCAAAGTAAACTTCTTCATTCAGGCCTCAGCTGTACAGGTAATGGCCTAAACCCAAAATCGTTCAACCCAAAGAACAGACAGAAGCATTTCTCAAACGTCTTCACAAGCAAGCTTCTATGGAACATATGATTGCAACTCAAAAATCATCGGTATGGATTCAAAACCGGTGAAATACCTCTAGAAACCCATCAGTATCAGCAGCGAGAGCCTGAAGCGCTTTCTGAGCTTCGGTGAGCTTCAGCCCAGCTCGGCTGGAAACGTCGCCGACGGTGACTCTCCGGCCACACTCATCCACCGCATCAATCGCTCGCTTCCGCACATCCGATGGCAATTTGTCGCTCTCCACCACCGCTCCGGGCCTGATTCCGCCGCCGCTCGCCTTATCGATACTCGCTGCTCGAACCGGGCCCGTAAACTTCCGGCGAGTTCCGGGAAACACCAGCGTCCGATTTCCGGGAAAATGATAACGATAGGGAGATTTAAGGCGAATCAAAGGCTTCAACGATAGAAATGGCGGGTGAGACAACCTGGGAGAGGCGAAGAAGTATGTCGACACAGACGCCATTCTCTTGATTCCGGATTACTCTCGTCTTCTCTACTGAAGAATCCGAGTTTCCGCCATGGGAGATGATTCTATGGCTCAGAATTGAAAGCTTTTCGGTTCCCAGGAGCAGGAGTAATAAATCTTACCCTTCGGAGATTTTTCCTCCCCCTTCTTTCTGGAATAAGATGCTTTGTAACTTGGTTACCGTACTTAACCGGAACTAGAGACACCAAATTGAAAACCGGATTAAACCAACCGGACCGGACCGGTCCAGGGCATTCAATCTCCCAATTGCAAACCGGAAGTACTGAACCGGTTCGGTTTCCTAAATCGATTTCCTAATAACCGGAACAAAACAAATACCAAAACATGGGCCGAGACCCATATATGTAAAATAGCCCTTTAGGGCTTTATCACATTCTCGAGAGCTTCTTCTTCAAGCTGCAGAAAGTTTTGGGAAAATTACCCAAATAACCCACTTTGGGTCACAGCAATTTCAGGGTACACCACCCAAAAAAAAAAAAAAAAAATTTCAATTTTAACCCACTTTTCGGTTGAAAAAGTCCAAAATACCCTTTTCGTTTTATTTTTTGCGACCTTTTTGCGACTAACATATAACTGATATACAACTAAAATAAGACGGATGATTTTTTTTGCCACTTGTTTGTAACTATATTTAGAATTAATTACGAAGTCGTAATAACGAAGTTGTTTTTGAACGGATAAATATCGCGATTCATTAAGGGTAATTTCGTTTTTTTACGGAGAAAAAAATATGTTATGTTTTTTGTGGTGTACAGGTGAAATAGATGCGACCCAAGTGAGTCATTTGAGTGAAGAACCCGAAAGTTTTACCCTAGTCATAGCGAGAGCTTCTTAGGAGGTATGTCTACTTCTCTCTCTCGTCTCCGGAGCAACGGAGAAACGTCGATATCACTGTTTTAGTCTCCGCCGACACGAATTCTCTGTTATTAGAAGTTGTCTAAGGAATTTGTTTCCAACGGATTGAGATCATATTCTTGAAGTTAGTAGATTTTTAGATTTTGGGTTTTTTTGCTGTATTTCTCTGTCAATCCCTTTGTTCTTATTGTCGGAGAACTGGAATTATGTCGCCTTGTTCTTCTGTTGTTTCCTTAGTTCTTGATTCAATGTCGTAAATTTGACTGATTTATGTAGAGAGCCTATACATGTTCTTACGCTGAGAGACATGAACTATGGAGTCTTTTTTTTCCTATTGATTTGACATGCATTGCTTTCAGTGAATTGATTTTGTAATCTGTATTTGCTATTTGAATAATCTTTGTTCTTCAATCAGAGTATTCTCTATTATTTGACTGCTTTATGTCGAAGAGAGCCAGCCTATACATGTTCTTACACTGAGAGACACATAAATTGTGAAGTCTTTCTTTCCATTGCTATATCATGCTTTGATTTTTGTAATATGTCGGATCTTGAATCAGAATGGATAATCAGATAAAGCACGCTGTGGTGGTGAAGGTGATGGGGAGGACTGGATCAAGAGGTCAGGTCACTCAGGTCAGAGTGAAGTTCACGGACTCCGATCGTTACATCATGAGGAATGTCAAAGGACCTGTCAGAGAAGGCGATGTCCTAACTCTGCTCGAGTCCGAGAGAGAAGCCAGGAGACTTCGTTGATGGTACCGCCTTTCTTTCTTCTCACCAATCAAGTAAAACTTCATGGATCCTTCTGGGTTTCTTTCTTCATTTTAAGATTTGATTAGTGTGTTTATGATTGCGGTTTTGTCGCCGGTTTTAGACAATGGTTTGATGACCGTATAATCCAGTCTGAAATCTATTTTATCATATGAAATCAGGGTTTGATAATGAGTGACTTCAATATTTGGTGTGTGTAGTGTGAATTCATGGCTTGATAGAAGATGAGCTATGTGCAACATCTAGCTCTTGTTGCTCCATTCACCATGGAAAGTACTCATATCTGGTTGCAGGGTAGGATTTTTACATTTCTTGCTTAAATTTTATAAAATTTTGTTAGAGATACATATCTTGCTGAATATTTTTCTGTTGCAACTATATTATTTAGTTCTATCTCTTTCTCCTTCTTTCCAGATGAGTTTGTTCCATCTGTTTTGTATATATGAACGTGCTACTCGATAGCTTAATAACACACAGAGAATTCTTTTCCTTTCTCACATTTGTTAAGTTAATATGGTATCAGAGCTTCTAAAGCTCCGTCTGCTATATTAGTTCTTCATATTTTTGTCTCTGTCATTTTCTCTGTAAAATGACAGAACCTGTTGCACCAATTCCACCACCTATTCCCGAATCTTCATCTGCTCTTGCATCGTCAAATCTCGACCCTTATGCAAACCCGTTATTTCTCCATGCTGCGGATACATCCAGCGTTTCTCTTGTACAGGAAAAGTTGGTCGGTGAATCGAACTACAACGTTTGGTCGCGGTCAATGACAAAGGCTCTCAATGCCAAAAATAAAGTGGGGTTCGTTGATGGTTCAATTCCCAAACCGGCAGCTGGTCATCCTGATTCTGGTTCCTGGTCTCGCTGCAATGACCTCGTATGCACATGGTTAAACAATGCGGTGTCCTCTGACATTGCGAGTTTGATCGTGTATATCGACAATGCGCATACTGTTTGGACTAGCTTGGAAAGCAGATTCAAACAGAAAAGTGATTCCAAGATCTACAATATTCAACAGCAGATTGATACTCTTCACCAAGGGTCGTTAGATCTCAACACCTTCTACACTAAACTCACTGGTTTATGGGAAGAACTTCGCAATCATGATCCGAATCCTACTTGTACCTGTGGAGGGTGTTCGTGTGATTTGTTTGGTCATTGGCAGAATCTGTGCAACAGAAGGAATGTGGTCACATTCCTTATGCGTCTCAACGAATCATACACTCCGGCACGTCGTCAAATTCTTATGATGGATCCCCTTCCTGACTTGACTCGAGCTTATAATTTGATATCTCAAGAGGAACAACAGAGGAGCATTCTACCTCTCCCGTCTGATTCTGTTGCGTTTCAGACACATGTTGCCCAACCTCGTTCTTCTTATTTTCATCAACAGCAAAAAGGATTTCATTCTAAATCCTCTACTCAGTCTAGGACACGTCCTCAATGCACTCATTGTGGAATGATGGGCCACACGATTCAAAAGTGTTTCAAGATATATGGATATCCCCCTGGTCATAAGTTGGCTCATCCGGGTGCTTGGAACAGACATGCTCAGTCTCCTCAGAGTTATTCGAAGCCAGTTGCCAACATGATAAGTCACCCTCCAGTGCATCCGACGTCTTCCTCTACTTCTGAGTCATCTGGAGTTGTTCACAGAGAGGGTTTTGATCAAGCTCAGTCCTTGATTATGCAGCTAAGCACTCAGCTCAAGGGCCTCAGCAACACCATCATTGATCCCTCTTCGCCAGCTATTCAACCAAACTCGCCAGGTATCATCTTTCCCATTCACCCTATGCTCTCAGCCTCAAATTTTCGACCTTCTCTTTCCAATACAGCCTGGATTCTTGATACCGGAGCCAACAACCATGTCTGTCATGACCGGTCATTGTTCTCTGATCTGCATGAAATTTCCCCTATTTCGATTACCTTACCTGATGGTTCTATGATTTTCGTTTCCTTTTCTGGAACTGTTTGCATTTCTTCATATATTTCCTTGCATTCTGTTTTATTTGTACCTCAATTTCATTTCAATCTTCTCAGCATTAGTTCCCTTACTAAACACAGTCCTTTTATGTCATTTTTTTGCCTGACTCATACATTATTCAGGACCTTTCTCAGGACTCGATGATTGGCAAGGGTAATCAGATTAATGGTCTTTACATTCTCGAGATGCAACCTTCGTCTGTTGCATTCTCACAGTCTTCTTATGTCTGTGTTTCTTCCGTTTCTTCCTCAGCTGATATTTGGCATTTTCGACTGGGTCACCCTTCCACTTTGAAGATTCAAGGCTCGGCCACCACCTCTCAGCCTTCTTTTTCTGTTTCTTCGAATAAGTTTACCTGTGATATCTGTCACTTGGCAAAACAAAAATGTCTTCTGTTTCCCTCTTCTTCTAAGTTGTCGAATAAACCGTTTGATTTATTACATTTGGATGTATGCGGACCTTTCCCGACTCAAACTGTGGATGGCCACCGTTACTTCTTTTCCATTGTTGATGATTGTAACCGCTGCACTTGGGTCTATCTCCTGCGTAATAAAAATGATGTAGCTGTCAAATTTCCTCAATTTATCACTCTGATAGCTACTCAATTTTCTGCTAACGTGAAAGCTATTCGCACAGACAATGCGCCGGAACTAGCCTTCACGACTCTTACTCTCAAACTCGGGATCATTCATCATTTTTCTTGTCCTTACACGCCGCAACAAAATTCTGTTGTTGAACGTAAGCATCAACACATTTTGAATGTTGCACGTTCACTCCTTTTCCAATCCAATGTTCCCTTACCTTTTTGGGGAGAATGTGTTCTTACGGCCGTTTACTTGATTAATCGAACCTCGTCGCCTTTACTCGACAACAAATCACCCTTTGAAAAACTTTTTGATGCTAAGCCAGATTATTCCAATCTTCGAGCTTTCGGCTGCTTATGCTATAAGTCGACATTGCTTAAAGATCGTCATAAATTCTCCCCGCGCTCCCGTCCTTCTGTTTTCATTGGCTATCCGCCTGGGTCTAAGGGTTATAAAGTCCTTGATTTGGAGTCGAACATTGTTTCTATTTCTCGCAATGTCCAATTTGTTGAATCTGATTTTCCTTTCAAGTCTCGTGTTTTATCCTCCTCTACAATTGGTTTCTTTCCCAGTGAGCCTTCTCCTTATTTCTTCTTTGATTCTCCTACGCCAATCATTAGTCATGCTGGTCCAGTTTCTTCTTCTTCTTCTTCTTCTTCTTCCTCCTCCTCCTCCTCCTCCTCCTCCTCCTCCTCCTCC